TGCCATTCTCAAACGTGGCCATGGGGGAGTAAGCAGCTATGGGAGAAAAGAAACTGCTTCTCAGGACACTGGGCATTCCTTCTATAGAATCAGCGTGTAAAGATGCCAGGCCTGTTCATTCTCCTCTTTCTGGGAGAAATGAGACTACCCATCCAAGAAATTTTTTCTCTAAATCACTTAATGGTGATAACCATTCTGTCTTTCTGCCCTCTGCTGGGGTCTCCACACCCTAATCTAGAGTTCAATTTCCTTATTCACTTTTTCAACAAATATTGAGCACCCACAATATGCTGGGCTCTGTTCTAGGCTCTGGGGATTCTGCAATGAACAGAATAGGCAGAAAAATCCCTGCCCCTGAGGAGATGAAATTCCAACTGGGTAGACAGGTGGTAAACAAGTACGTATGTTAGGTGAGGAAAAGCACTTTGGAGAAGAGTCAAGCAGAGTAAGGGAGATGAGTGGTTAGGGAAGGTGGCATCTGAGCAGGAGGTGATGGCAGGGGAAGTGTGAGGCTGTGAGGGAAGGGTGCTCCTGGAGGAGAGCACAGGCTGTGCAAAGGCCAGAGGTAGGCAAGTGCTCACCATGTTCAAGTAAAAGCAAAGAGGCTAGCAGGGCTAGAGTGGTGGGACATGGGGTCACAGAGGTCAAGGATGCAGATCTTTCTGGATGTATTTGAAGGTAGAGCCAACCGGATTTGCTGATGGAAGTGAGAGAAAGACAGGAGTCAAGGATGCCTTTACCAATAGTAAAACTACAGAACTGGTGATGGGGGTGGTGGGAGTCTTGGTGTCTAACTGCTCGGTCATTCCTTCTGTCTCAGCTATGCCCTGCAGTCCTGCTGTCATAGTGACCCTTGGGGCCTCCACTCCCCAACCCTTCCCTGGGTTCTGGAGTGGGGACTTACCGTCTCCTGGCTGACTTCCTCCTTGTACACTTTGGTTCAGCTTGCTCCCCTGGTTAAGTCAGAGCATTCCTCCATCAGCTTTCCCACTTCCAAAACTTCACTGATATCTCTAGCTTGCAGTTGTCTCTTTCTTGGCCACTGTATCCTAGTCAGTTGATGCCATTTAAAAAAAATAACTTTACTGTCTTTTGAGTGGGATTTCAGCCAAGAACAGAAACTCATTTCACCCTCTTTGTGGAACTCAAGTCTCTTGATTCTCTCCTTGACCATGTGACGTGGATAGGCTAATCCTACAATGGCCCTTTTTCTGAAGCCCCCAGGGTGCCTGAGATCACACAGCTGGGAAGTGCTTAAGCCCACATTTGAACTCCAGGTCTTAGACTCTCTGGGATATCAATGCCACTTTGAGCCAGAGGGCATAAGGTGGTTATCTCCTTCTGAATGTGCATATTCAGCTTTATTTATTTATTTTTTTTGCTTATCTTGGAAATGAAAACACAAGCATTTTATATTTTATTTCTCTAGAGAAGTTCCTGAGAAATTTCATGAAAATTTCAGTCTGGCTCATTATCCCACTAGTCGGCCATGTATGACTAGTTCTTTCTTTTTTTTTTTTAAGATGACCAGTAAGGGGATCTTAACCCTTGACTTGGTGTTGTCAGCAACACGCTTATCCAGTGAGCTAACCGGCCATCCCTATCCGAACCCAGGGCCTTGGTGTTATCAGCACCACACTCTCCCGAGTGAGCCACGGGCCGGCCCTGACTAGTTCTTTCTTTTACAGTTAGGTCTGTTAAGAGTAAATAAGCATCAGTCCTTGCACCTGCTTTTAAGCATTCCAGAAAGCAAAGACCTGGTGGGTCAGGCATGCAATGGACAGTATATACGGTGACACACTCAGGATCTTTCAGACCAGCACCAGAGTTCCTGTTCCTGCTCTGCCTTCACTAACTGTGGGCCTTCAGGCCTGTTTCTTAGCTCCTCTGGGCCTCTCTTTCCTCTGTCTGTAAAAAGAGAAAGTAATATCCACCCCCAGTGTTGATGTGAGGATTAAATGAATTCATAGATGTAAAACTGACTGGTTGCAAACGTGTCAAAGATGAAGCTGTTACTGTTCTGCCTTTGATCTAGTTGGAACCATGGCCTGAGGGAGATGTCTAGTGAGGTGCATGTGAGGACTTGGCCCTGTGGGAGGGACCTGGGACACTTGTCAGTGAGCTTGTGCTAGGCTGGTGATTCCTAACCTGGCTGTGTATCACAGTCATCTGCAAAGCCCATGAGCAATATGGACACGCCAGAGAGATTGATTCAGCTTTTGTTGCCTGGCCTCTGTGGCCCCTGTGTGCATCACAAACCCCATGGAGAGGCACCTGACGGGTTTGGACCCATTGCAACCGGCCATCCCTATCCGAACCCAGGGCCTTGGTGTTATCAGCACCACACTCTCCCGAGTGAGCCACGGGCCGGCCCTGACTAGTTCTTTCTTTTACAGTTAGGTCTGTTAAGAGTAAATAAGCATCAGTCCTTGCACCTGCTTTTAAGCATTCCAGAAAGCAAAGACCTGGTGGGTCAGGCATGCAATGGACAGTATATACGGTGACACACTCAGGATCTTTCAGACCAGCACCAGAGTTCCTGTTCCTGCTCTGCCTTCACTAACTGTGGGCCTTCAGGCCTGTTTCTTAGCTCCTCTGGGCCTCTCTTTCCTCTGTCTGTAAAAAGAGAAAGTAATATCCACCCCCAGTGTTGATGTGAGGATTAAATGAATTCATAGATGTAAAACTGACTGGTTGCAAACGTGTCAAAGATGAAGCTGTTACTGTTCTGCCTTTGATCTAGTTGGAACCATGGCCTGAGGGAGATGTCTAGTGAGGTGCATGTGAGGACTTGGCCCTGTGGGAGGGACCTGGGACACTGTCAGTGAGCTTGTTCTAGGCTGGTGATTCCTAACCTGGCTGTGTATCACAGTCATCTGCAAAGCCCATGAGCAATATGGACACGCCAGAGAGATTGATTCAGCTTTTGTTGCCTGGCCTCTGTGGCCCCTGTGTGCATCACAAACCCCATGGAGAGGCACCTGACGGGTTTGGACCCATTGCCTTCTGGGCCTATGACTGGGCCTCAACATTGGGCTGCGATGAGATCTTGGTAAACAAAACCGTTGGAGCTGAGCTGAGCAGTTTGCATCAGTTTATCCTGCATAGCATTCAGCATTTTTGCAGATTGCTTTCTAGTGTTTGAAAACTCCAGAATTACCAAGGTCACTGGGTACTTTAAAGTGCCCCGTCTGCCTGGTGTAAATGCTTTCCCAGGCCACATGGGAAAGTCAGTCTTTTCTGGGATAACTTGTGAGGTGCTGAGGCAGAGACCAGCTCTGGGAGCAGAGATTTCAGGTGGACTGGAGGTCTGGGCCCTGTGTATGCCTTGGGTTACTATCACCTCATGTGGGAGGCCCTGTGCAGGTGTGGGCAGGGGACCATGTGGACAAAGAGCCATGGAAGTTCTGAGAAGGGACCGCCTCCTTTCTGTTTGGCGGGGGAGGAGGACTGATGCTCTTTTTTTTTTTTAATTGGCCATAACTCATTGTACGTATCTGCTGGGTATAGCGTTGAATGTTATGACCCTTTCATGATGGGAAGAGGAAAAGACTTGTACCAGCGGACTGCTGGCAAATTTGGGGACTAAAAGTAGTCGCATTGGCTGGATTGGGCATTTCATTTCCCACCTGGAGGAGGATGCGTACAGAGGGCAGGGTGTGCTGTCTTACTCCTCGCCTGTGACCTCAGTGGGGTTTTTGTGCCCATTACGGGCACTCAGTAGGAGTAGCTGCTAGACTGTCTCCCAGAGTCACCAGTGCAGCCCAGGAAGAGCAGCTTGATGGCCACCTCACATGGGGTTGCACATGTGACAGTCACCTAATATGGTTTGTGTGGCTGCTTGGGGTTTAAGGCTGATTCACTGCTCTTGAATGAAACATACTTTCCTCTGTTTTCCAAACACCAGGGAAGGATAGAATCATATTTGTCACCAAAGAAGACCATGAAATGCCAAGCAGTGCAGAGCTGGTGGCCGATGACCCTAACGATCCGTACGAAGAACATGGTGAGTGGTGTGGGGCCTCCCAAGGGCCCACAAACACATCCTAGGGGGAAAGCTTGCTGTTCATAATTCCTTTCCCATTGTGTCCTTGCCAAGGCAGGACCTTGAGGTGTCCACCTCAGCCACAGAGCCCCTCTCAGGGCAGTCCGTTCAGCTCCCTCAGCGGCTTGAGGGGCTGTGCTGAGCGCTTTCCAGCCCCTTGGCCAGAACACAAGAGTTTCTCTTACTGATTACTCTGGCCTCTTCTCTTCTGAGTTTTTGCACTGACCTAAGCCAGTTGGATGCTTCACAATGATTATCTGCTGGGGGAGGATGTCAGTGGATTTGGGAATTTACAGGTAGGTTAAGGTGACAGGGATCCTCCTGCTCTGTGAAGTTACCAGACTGAATTCTGCCACATCTACCTACTTTGAAGAGGAAAAGACTTGTACCAGCGGACTGCTGGCAAATTTGGGGATTAAAAGTAGTCGCATTGGCTGGATTGGGCATTTCATTTCCCACCTGGAGGAGGATGCGTACAGAGGGCAGGGTGTGCTGTCTTACTCCTCGCCTGTGACCTCAGTGGGGTTTTTGTGCCCATTACGGGCACTCAGTAAGAGTAGCCGCTAGACTGTCTCCCAGAGTCACCAGTGCAGCCCAGGAAGAGCAGCTTGATGGCCACCTCACATGGGGTTGCACATGGGACAGTCACCTAATATGGTTTGTGTGGCTGCTTGGGGTTTAAGGCTGATTCACTGCTCTTGAATGAAACATACTTTCCTCTGTTTTCCAAACACCAGGGAAGGATAGAATCATATTTGTCACCAAAGAAGACCATGAAACGCCAAGCAGTGCAGAGCTGGTGGCCGATGACCCTAACGATCCGTACGAAGAACATGGTGAGTGGTGTGGGGCCTCCCAAGGGCCCACAAACACATCCTAGGGGGAAAGCTTGCTGTTCATAATTCCTTTCCCATTGTGTCCTTGCCAAGGCAGGACCTTGAGGTGTCCACCTCAGCCACAGAGCCCCTCTCAGGGCAGTCTGTTCAGCTCCCTCAGCGGCTTGAGGGGCTGTGCTGAGCGCTTTCCAGCCCCTTGGCCAGAACACAAGAGTTTCTCTTACTGATTACTCTGGCCTCTTCTCTTCTGAGTTTTTGCACTGACCTAAGCCAGTTGGATGCTTCACAATGATTATCTGCTGGGGAAGGATGTCAGTGGATTTGGGCATTTATAGGTAGGTTAAGGTGACAGGGATCCTCCTGCTCTGTCAAGTTACCAGACTGAATTCTACCACATCTACCTACTTTATCAGGAAGCAAACATACAAACAGTCACACTCCTTGTGTGTGAGATTGATGAAATCCCTGCTCTCTCCTTAGGTGCTCCAGCAAGCACCTTGCTTGAAAAGTTCACTCAACACAGCAGGATTCGGCTCACCTGGTCAGAACGATTGCACACTCCTCAGTTCATGGCTGAATATAGCAATGGCCTCTTGGGCCTAGGTCGTCACTCCAAAGGCTCTAGGCTGCTGGACTCCCTAGATATTTACCCCAGCCTACATAAGGTGGATGTGTGTATGCAGTGGTCACAAACAGTCCCCATATTGTACTCAGTACTCAATTCACCAACCAAAAACCCCTTTAACGTCTGTTATGAGAACTAACAAAATTTCTAGTGCTGAGTGGTGATCAATATAAAGAGCCCGAAGCAGCTGCCTCTGGAGTAGGGGCTGCTGATTGGATCGTTCAACACTAACAAAGTGTTTATTCACAGGCATGTATTCACTCTTCACTTGTCTCCCGTACTGCTCATGGGAATTAGAGTAAAGCTAAGGATGCGTGTCTAGCCCCCTGCTGGGAGCAGTAGAAAGTGCAGATGTTATATAAAGAGTTAGCTTCTGTGCATGACAGCTACAGTAGTGATTTTCACTCAGCACCCTTTTGTAAAGGAAGAGAAATCACGTGTCAATTCCAGAAGTTTGACTATCTAGGTCCATAATAGCTAAATACATTTTGTTAATTGATCAAGATTCTTTGGAGGCCTGCAGGACAGCTTAGGCTTTGTTTTCTTTGCCTCACAGTCTTCTTTAAAAAAATCCCCTCCATTCCCACCACTTTTTATTGTCCCTGTTGTTTTCTCTACTTGCTTCTGTCATTTACTGTATATCTGCTTGGACCCTATAGGTGCCCCCTATAGTGTATTTGTCTTTGCAGTC